TTACGGGTTTTCTACGAACGCTTTCTGCGGATGCGCAGAAACGAATCGATGGTATGTTGAGTGTTCTGTTCAGACTTTTCCCCGTATGTTGGTTCATACCTCTCGAACAGTAGAGGTGCTGTATTGCAGCAAGCATTTCTGGAAAAGTGAAGGCCGGGAAACGAGCGTGAGGACCACTGCCAGATGATGTAGCGTTGATCTGTGTTTATTTTTTTTAACTCTCAAATTAGCTACAATTATCAGTTTGGTTCTCCCACTATACGATTTTTCCAGTGCACGCCTTGAACAGCTTTGCGTCACGTAGAACTTAGTCTGGCGGCGATCCTGACGTTCATCTTATGTCCTGAAGAAACTAGCAACTCAGAGGCTTTTCGTGTTTGTTAAGCATCGCATCTCCGTCCGAACGTTGCCAGTTTTAGACCCCTATAAGGAGCACTGCTGGCTAAAAGGACTGAAGTTCACTATAGACAAATTTCTCCAAATTTCAACAGTGCGGCGACTTTATGTTCCGTTGATTTCAGAGCTGCAGAAAGATGCGGACTTGTTGCAGGGGACCATCGATTCGCTTTTTGATGTTGATGGGATGAAACAGGTACATATTGGCAGTATCATCATGCAAGGCCTTTCTAAGTCTTAATTTTCGACCCCAAGATCGCCTCCTAATGTCGCTACGCATGACTGACAAAGGATAACTCGAGCGATTAATGCTATCTATCATTTCTTCCAGAAAACTGAAGAAAAAACAATGAAACAAGCACAGAATCATTAGCAGACTGAATACCTGATTATCCCGCTTAAATCACTGCCAGCAACACTCGTTGAATGTGTAATTACCCTACAATAAACAACAGCAGCCTACCCAAATAGCATAGCTACTTTTTTGGCCGGTATCCAGTTTTCTGTTTCGTGACATCTAAAATTTTGCCTGTAAATGACAACTTTATTTTCAGGAGCTATATCGTCTTCATAGCGTGATTGTTCATGAAGGTGAGGCGAACGTTGGGCATTACTGGGCTTACATAGCTAGCTCGCCGTTGTGCGGAGCCGAAGTATCGTGGCGCAAATTCAACGATAAAAGTGTTGGGCCGGCGACTTGGCAGCAAATCGAGGAAGATGCGTTTGGCTCGCGGAGGGCTTGTTCGGCATATTGTCTGGTTTATACGAGGGCCAAATGCGAGGAGGCGCTTTATGGCGATGGTATTTTATATTGTGTTTTGTGCATGCATTTCATCTATTTCAGTGGTGTACAGCGAAATTTTTAGCTGTCTCACTTGTGAAATATTTGATTGGTGAAAAAAGAGGGTGATTGCAGAGCGAGGAGAATTAGCAAAATCGATTCCGGAGTTACTGGATATGCTACCGAACGATCTAAAGTTGGATGTTGCGGCTGATAATGCGCTGTTCGATGCAGAAATGGTCAAGTGGGACAAGGAGCACCCAGCAGTTGAAATGGGCCCGAAAAATAAAACGTGGCTTATCAACGCCAGCAAATGCCCGGTATTTTATTTTTCACCACCCTAGACGTGTGCATTGGTCATGCCCCTTGTGTGGCAGATTTTTTCAAAGTACAAAACATCAGTAAGATCTAGTAATATTAGGACTTGGTGGAAATGGTCTCGTACAAAGGACCACTCGACATTGATACACTGAGCCGACGACATTACAGGCATGCTGGACAGAACTTTGGCGAGACCATGATTGCCAGGTTATTCTTGTATATAATAATTTAGAAAAGCTTCCCTGCTGGTACATAAATCAGTACTGAATTAGATTGTACAAGAAAAAGTTTTAGCCCATTGTTTGCATACGCCATACCTCCGCTGCAGCTGTATCTCTTGCATTACGGCGGCGACGAGAACATTTTGTAAGGCTGAGCGTTATGGGAGAAGTGAAAAAAAGAGGAATTTTTGTGAGAAATTTAAGAAATTATGAAGTTATTATTAATACTAATGTAGGGATGAAATTCGAAAAAAAAGCAGAAAAAACAGTGCATCTCGTTATGTTTTTATTTCTTGCGTAATCAGGGGGGCTTTTTCTTTCTTTCTAGGGCCTCTTATTTACCTACTTACCATCGGTTGCGAAGTTGTACGGTTACAAAAATGCAACTCTACCACTGCAGTGATAAATTTATATGCTATCAAAGTGTAAAATGTACGAGGTGGTTGAACGGAATACAAAAAAACCACTTAGAAATTAGTGGTGGTGTGTCGAACACGGTGAATACGCCAAGGGAATTAGTGTGTGTAAAGAAATGAATCTGTTCTGTTAACAGAAATGAAAGGTAAGTGCAGTGGGAAGCAGCCCAATCGTCAGCACAACTTTCAGCGATCTCCCGCTGGCAGCACTTTCTTTCGAGGCTATCGAGAATTGAATAACAAATTGAAAGCATTAATTGTTTGTATTCGATTATAGAAAAGTATGGATAAAACAGGAAATCTTTATTTCTAAACAAAATATTTTAGTATTAAGGAAACGCTGAATGTGAGCGATCTCCGGGCCTATGTGGAGAGTTACGAAAATTCATTGAACATAGTGCAGGAGGTAAGAGAAATTTCACAATGATATAGTGGTTGCGCTTTTATTGCAAATCTTTGTTGGCGTAACTACTTCGCTGGGCACTGAAAAATATTATTGGCTGGTTGTTTCGGTTTAATACTTTGAATAATTACTGTTTTCTTCGCGTTTGTTATTAATGTGATGGCTTGCACCGCGCATGGGAAGTTTTTTTTTTTTTTTGTAGAAATGAGCCTTCACATATGGGCCTGAGCCATATAGCTCTTTAAGCTGCAGCTTTTTTGTTAGGACTTTTACTTTGTAGTAAATACGCAAGTCACTTCTTCGATAATGTCCACTGAGTCTTTATCATTTTGTTAAATTACGCCCAGCAAAAAGAACAGGGTATTCCACCCATTCGTTTTTATTCCCTTACGTGGTCTAAACGATACACTACAAGCCATCGGTCTCGAAGCACTTGCTTATACGGATGCAAAGGGCTCTTCGTGCATTTTATGCAAATAGTCGATGTTTATCATCACAAGCGTTTGCACTTCTGGTTGCTTTATTGATTGCGTTTCGTATCCGTATGTTTCTAATTTTAACAGAGTGCCACACTCCTTTCCTAGCTTGACCCCTCCTTTCCTAACTTTAGAGGAATGTTCCCTACTCATATAATACCAAAAATTTACATACTCAGGTCCTCAGGATCGTCCAGGGCTCACGTACGGGCACATGAAAATTTTTGGCGCGGAAATTACGAACCCGAGAACGGGAAAAACTAGATGGCTGAAACTTTAGGTTAATGTTTCCTACTCATGCACGACCAAAATCAGGTATTTAGAAGCGCTGGGGCCCACGTACAGGCATATGGAAATTTTGGCGCGGAAATCACTAACCCGGGAGTGAAAAAAAGGAGAAAGCTGAAACTTTAGGAGAATGTTCCCTTCTCATGTGCGTGCAAAATCAGGTGTTTAGAAGCGCCCGGGCCCACGTACGAGCGCGTGGAAGTTTTGGCATGAAATTCATCAACCCGGGAACGGGAAAAGCTTGAAAGCTGAAACTTTTGGGTAATGTCCCCTACTCATGTATGACCAAAAGATTTCATATTCAGCTGCTTAAAACCATCTGGTACTCATTTACGGACACGTGAAAATAATAGTAGGAAAACTGCTAACTTGGGAGCGGGGAAAGCTGAAGGCTTTAATTTTAAGGGAATGCCAGATTCAGCTGTTCTAGTACGGCCTTTTTCGCGGACCAGCAACTTTCCATTGTCGGGTCACTGAAGTCGACATCTACAACTGACATATCACATAGCTGCACAATTAACTTCCCAAACTTCGAGGACCAGTATAC